GATCTAACAAATGATTTTAACTTTTTTGAAGTGAAACTTCTTTTGGCGGATCGAGAGTAAAATTTAACTCGTGACAGATGCGTTACGGCTAGAGAGAAAAGATATAATTTAGGAAGAGCGAGAGTGAGAAAATAGACAGAACGTCTCGCGAACCACTCGACCGTGGAGAAAGGGAAAGGACAAAGGGAGCTAGGTCGTTTCTATTTATTATACACAGCATTCCCTACTACAAAAGGAATTTGATTTAAGGATGAAAAATAAAGAAAACACCGCAAAAGAAGTTTCACTTCTTCCACGTTCACCAAATTGCACACGCACTATTTTTTTTTTCTCTAATACTAGTCAGGATGTTAGCGCGAAGTTATAAAATTATTGTTTTGGCAAAAATTACGTTGATAGTGAAAATGTCCTTAAAAAATGATGACGTCACATAAATACAAAGCTATTAGAAGCGTATTAATAAAACAATATTAGAACGTATAAAGGTATGTATGTCAGTTGAGTTTTTCTCGCTAGTTTTTGTCTGTTCTGTGACCATAAAATGCTTGTATGATAGAGGACAATTTAAATTTTGACATGTAATAATTGCGTTATGATGAGATTATTGAAACAAAATATATTATGTTTCATTTGTGATTGTTTGTCTGTGGTTAAACAAACAGGGCAATGATTCCTTCCTCTGTTTAGGTACTTACTTCCTTCGAACAACTGAAGTAATTTTCTGAAATACGAGTAATTTTCCACTCAATAAACTCTGTAGCTGCGTATACGTACATTTTACGAGTTTCCCGCGTAAAATTACGAATTTTATAGCATTTTTCGTCTCGAAACTTGACCGATTTCTTGTTTACTATCTATAAAAAGGTTTTATTTTACCCGAAACGGATGATCCCTTCGCTTTTACGTTTGTCAATTAATTTCTTTTGCGTCAAATTGAAAACGAAACTTTTACTTTCTTATTTCGAGAATTTCAAATATTAAAAATACGCTTTCTGGAGAAAATTGAAACGTTTTGTTTATATTTTAAGAAATATTACAGAAAACAATTGTATGCATGCTGTTTAATAACATAATTAATCAAAGATATTTTAGGTAAGCGTAAATTCAAAAATGAACTATTAGCTGCGTTATAAATATAGAATTCAATTACTTTCATAAATATTATATTATGTCATTTAAATAATGTAGTAAAATAAAACAGCAGCTTAGCGCTGTAACACTTTTTTATAGTTTATTGCTTAGATGTGTGGATGAGCTCACAGCCCACCAGGTGTTAAGTGGTTATTGGAGCCCATAGACATATACAACGTAAATGCGCCACCCACCTTAAGATATAAGGTCTCAGTATAGTCACAACGGCTACCCCACCCTTCAAACCGAAACGCATTACTGCTTCACGGCAGAAATAGGCAGGGTGGTGGTACCTACCCGTGCGGACTCACAAGAGGTCCTACCACCATTTATATCATATAAATTTATAATTTTTTAGACAATTTTTTTTGTTTTTTTTTTTCATGATAAAGCATACAAAAATACATACAACCTTACATTTTCACCCCTCTACGATCAACCCTTATTTTTTATTTGCTAATTAAAAACTTTAAAATTTTTTGCGAGAATTTTGTTTTTATTTTGTCATGATTTAGAATAAAAAAATTCACATTACTCTGAAATTTTCACCCCTCTACGATCAACCCCTATTTTTTATTTGTTAATTATAAACTTTAAGTTTTTTGGCAAGATTTTTTTATTTTTATTTTGTCATGAATTAAAATAAAAAATCTGATGTTACTCTCGATTTTTCATCCCTTTATGATCAACCCCTATTTTTTTTTTTTGTTAATTATGAACTTTAATTTTTTTGGCAAGATTTATTTATTTATTTTGTCATGACTTAAAATAAAAAAAAACATATTACTCTCAATTTTCACTCTTATACGATTAGCCCCTATTTTTCCATCCCGATTTTTTTATTTATTCTATGCACAGATCCGCAATAATGTTGCAAGATGGCAATCAAATATTATAATTGTAGTACGATAAATTCTTATTCAGAGTTTATAATTTCAAGTTCCTTTAATTATGATTTTTTTTTAATTCAATTTGATCTCCCGCCCTCGCCGGTCGACTACTGATCAACTACGAACCGCTCTTTTCGATATCGAGTCGAGGGAACCCGCTCCTCCCCGCGACCTCTCACAGCTGGAGTCCCGCAAGGCTCTGTCCTCTCACCCCTCCTATTTAGCTTATTCGTCAACGATATTCCCCGGTCGCCGCCGACCCAGTTAGCCTTATTCGCCGACGACACGACTGTTTACTATTCCAGTAGAAACAAGTCCTTAATCGCGAAGAAGCTTCAGAGCGCAACCCTAGCCCTAGGACAGTGGTTCCGAAAACAGCGCATAGACATCAATCCAGCGAAAAGTACTGCGGTGCTATTTCAGAGGGGAAGCTCCACACGAATTTCCTCCCGGATTAGGAGGAGGAATCTCACACCCCCGATTACTCTCTTTAGACAACCCATACCCTGGGCCAGGAAGGACAAGTACCTGGGCGTTACCCAGGATGCATCGATGACATTCCGCCCACATATAAAATCAGTCCGTGACCGTGCCGCGTTTATTCTCGGTAGACTCTACCCCATGATCTGTAAGCGGAGTAAAATGTCCCTTCGGAACAAGGTGACACTTTACAAAACTTGCATAAGGCCCGTCATGACTTACGCGAGTGTGGTGTTCGCTCCCGCGGCCCGCACACACATAGACACCCTCCAATCTCTACAATCCCGCTTTTGCAGGTTAGCTGTCGGAGCTCCGTGGTTCGTGAGGAACGTTGACATACACGACGACCTGGGCCTCAAATCTATCCAGAAATACATGAAGTCAGCGTCGGAACGGTACTTTGATAAGGCTATGCGTCATGATAATCGCCTTATCGTTGCCGCCGCTGACTACTCCCCGAATCCTGATCACGCAGGAGCCAGTCACCGTCGACGCCCTAGACACGTCCTTACGGATCCATCAGATCCAATAACTTTTGCATTAGACGCCTTCAGCTCTAACACTAGGAGCAGGCTTAGGGACCTCGGTAACCGTACTCGTCGAACTCGACAAAGAGTTCGCCGTGCAACCTAACCCATGAATCAGCTCGCTGAGTTTCTCGCCGGATCTTCTCAGCGGGTCGCGATTCCGATCCGGTAGTAGATTCATTCGCGAAGCAGCTACTCTTGAGCTGTTAGGTCTCCTTCGGAGGCGCTCGGGTAGCTGTTAGCAAATTCCACCCCTCCTGGCTGAGCCTTTGCTCGCCCACCTGTCCTGGTGAAACTGGAAAGGCCTCCGGGTCACCAGTAATCCTTCAATGATAAAAAAAAAATGAATCGATCAGCTATCCCCGCCAGTTGTCACCACTCATCCAGCAAACATCACGTAGTAGGGATGAGGACGAAGCCGATCATAGATTATACACTTAATATATTTGAGAGCTATACAATACATTTTTCAGCCATGTTTTTTTGGTTTTATTTGTGTATCAATAGTATGTTCAGTAGGTCTGAGAATCGGCTACTATCTATTTTTCATACCCCTAAGTCATAAGGGTTGTCCACCCCAAACTTTTATTTTAATTTTTTGGATATTTTTTTTTTTGTTATAATGAGGTATTATGTGATTAAATGAGTTTTTTTTTTCTACAGTAGATATCCCTAGAAATCTTATTTAAGGCAACACAACGTTTGCCGGGTCAGCTAGTAGGTATATATATAAATACTCGGTCGCGATAAAAGATTCTTCTAAAACGTATCGTCGAGCAAAATTAAAAAAAGACTTTTACGATTTAAATCCCGGATTTATTATTTTCATACTCTTATTAGTGACGTTTCCATTGCTTCAGGGCTTTGGTCGTTACGGACGATAAATAAAATGAAAACAATAAATTGTGAAATGAAACCGTAAGACTAGTTTTTAATTACGCTTACGCCTTGCGAAGAACCGAGAAAAATTCTGTTAAATAATTTTTATTTTCATTCCTTCCTTCCTTCGTTCCTCGATGCCGAGGGTCGTGACCTTTACGGAGCATTTTTTTTCGGACTATGATCCACAATTCTTACCTGTCCTCTGCGCAGTGGATAGCAAAATTGATACTGGACGGAGTCGAATGTCGTCTTTATTTGATCAGATCAGCGCGTGAGACTACGCCCTCTTGACCTCTTTCATTCTACTTTACCAGTGATGAGTAGTTTTTCGAGATTGTCACCCTTCTCCCTCGCAACGTAATCGAAAAACTTTTTTTTTTAATTTTCATTCAATTTCTATAAATTATCTTCGTTCGAAAGACGTATCCGTCAATGGCAGTCAGCGCCTGTGGCTTAGCTTCGCGAACCGAATGTAAATTAACGATTAAATAATGAAAACAATACCTGGAAAATAAAGAAGTTGTCGTGGCCTAAAAGATAAGACGCCTGGTGTGTTCGTATCAAGCGATGCAACTGTGCCAGTGTTCGAATTCCGAAAACAAGTACTATTTTTTCCAAAGAGATGCGTATATAGCTTCTACGGTGAAGCAATAATATCTTGTAATCAAAACAAACCTGCTTGTACTGCCTATTATTTATTTATACGGTATTTAAGCTGTTGATATCTATGAAGTCCGGTAACCACTTAACAAAAGATCCACCATGAGCTCTTTTTTTTATTACTTAGATTCGTGGATGAGCTCACATCCCACCTGGTGTAAACTGGTAACTGGAGCCCATAAACATCTACAACGTAAATACGCCACCCACCTTGAGATATAAGCTCTAAGGTTTCAGTATAGTTGCAACGGCTGCCCACCCTTCAAACCGAAACGCATTACTGCTTCACGGCATTAATAGGTAGGGTAGTGGTACCTACCATGCGGACTCACAAAAGGTCCTACCACCAGTCATCTATCAGTAAAAAAAAGTCCACATCAGATCAGCTACCGTTTGATTGAAGCGAAATTTGTGTATTTATTTTCCACAGAGGATGCGGCGTCCTCGTCGTCACAGGTGGCTGACGATATCTGTTTTCTTCATCGCTTACTCCGTGATCCAAGCCGTGTTCAGCGCGACCACGGTGTCGGAGCCGTCCGCTCCAAGTAAAGCAGACACCACACCGGACGAGTCCGTTGTAAAGACCACGCCTCCCGTTGAATACACCAGTAAGGCCGGACAGAAGAAAGGTTCGTTTCGTTGATTGTACGATAGGTATTACAATTGGTATTTTACTGGTGGTAGGACCTCTTGGGAGTCCGCACGGGTAGGTACCACCACCCTGCCTATTTTCGGTCAAGAAACAGTAATGCCTTTCGGTTTGAAGCCGTTGTAACTATACTGAGACCTCAGAATTTATATCTCAAGGTGGGTGGCGCATTTACGTTGTAGATGTCTATGGGCTCCAGTAACCACTTAACACCAAGTAGGCTGTGAGCTCGTCCACCCATTTGAGCAATAAAAAAAAGGTATTTGACCCTGTTTTTTGGATTCTCTCGTCTCTGGTCTTTCCTGAGTGCTATGACATGTCTTTCTTCAAACGAGTTTTGCGGAGAGTACTCTGTAGTAGACGGCGGCTTGCCTGTGCTTCTGGCGTTGCTGACCTCCATGAGCGATGGTAGCCATTTACCATCAGGTGGGGTGGAAGCTCGCCTGCCTACAAGGGCAATGAAAAAAGCGATGCTTTAATAATCTTAAGCTACCTATCCACGTCTCTGGTATTGCTAATTTTGTGAAAGATTTCTTTACACATGTTAAGAGTAATTGTGTATATAAAAATAAATATATTTATTTACAGAAGACAGTACTGACAGTCAGGGAAATTCCGAAGAAGTGGGTGAGACGGCTACAGAAGGAGGTAAAAAGAGTCTCAAAGGACTGATTGACGATGAAGAAGATGATAAGAAGACTATCAAGGACGCTGGATACGAGGATGTAAGAATTGAAAGGGACTGTTTTATTTGTCCGTAAAGTAAAACTTAAAGTCAACTTTCACAACTCTTATTTCATAGACTACTGACGGGGCTCGCGGCTCACCAGGCGTTTAGTGACCGGAGCCCATAGACATCAACAATATAAATGCCGCTAACCACCTTGAGACTTTAAGCCTCAATTGTACCGCAATTACCGAAAATATTTATGTCGGGTTTTATTTTTATGACACAATGTCATTCCTTGATCGAAGATGTCATTGGTGAATATGAGTTAAGTACGTTTTTCTATAAAAGAATCGATACCTGTTTGTGAGAGTCTAACATACGGATCATCGATAATACGAATCCAGTACACTAGACGTCTTTTCGTTTAGGCCACGACGACTTTGCATCTTCACCTTTCAATTATTTTTATGGAGTCGGTGAAGGTATTTTGAAAACTCCGTCCAAAATTTCGAGATAATCTTTAAAGAATTTAGAATGAAAATAATCATTTAGGAATGCAATTAATCAAAATCACCGCATTCTCGCATTACTCGGCTTAGGTCAATGACATTCAATGTGGACAAAGAGCCTCAGGAACTTAAAGTATTAAGCTAATAACATCCATGACATGTCCTTCTTCAAACGAGGCTTGTGGAGAGTATTAAACGGTAGGCAGCGGCTTGGCTCTGCCCCTGGCATTGCTGACGTCAATGAGCGACGGTAACCACTCACCATCAGGTGGGCCGTATGCTCTCTGCGTACACGGGCAATAAAATAATAATAATAATAAACTTTATAAAGTTGGGAAAGGAAGGGAAGTCATAAAAGCTTGGAAACCTAAAAGGTAGGAGAATAACCACTTCATCGAATCAGTCATCATTCATTCTCCTGCCCTTCTTCCAGCTATCTGGGGTCGACGCAACATATTTTCTCCTTCCATACTCCTCTATCATATACCATTTCTTCGCTCACTCCCCTCTTACACATATCGTCTTTCACGCAATCCATCCATTTCTTCTTCAGTCTACCTCTTCCTCTAATGCCTCCCACGTTCGTATTTAAAACTCCCTCGCCTCTCTAAAACTGCGTCAAATCATTGAATTGCTGTATAAGCCTTGTATTTGTTGTTTTTTTACAGAGCAAGGAGACGCAGGATCTGCGCGAGAAAGAACGAGCAGCTTGGGTCATTCCCACCGTTCATCCGTTTAGGGAAAACTGCACCCCACCCGCTATCGAACAGGTTAGTCTTATATCAAAGCCTTAAGTGCGGAACAAGGTCTAATACGCCTCGTCCCCGTATACCCCTTGCGGAAGACTAATAAAGATCTACTTGTCTCTGTCGTGCAGAGTCCGTAATTTCAGTTAGATTTAGTGTTTGAAAGAGACTGGTGGTAGGACCTCTTGTGAGTCCGCGCGGGTAGGTACCATCAAGCAGTAATGCGTTTCGGTTTGAAGGGTGGGGCAGCCGTTGTAACTATACTTGAGACCTTAGAACTTATATCTCAAGATGGGTGGCGCATTTACGCCGTAGATGTCTATGGGCTCCAGTAACCACTTAACATCAGGTGAGCTATGAGCTCGTCCACCTATCTAAGCAATAAAAAAAAGAGATATATTTCTAAAATATCCGATTAAAATACAATGCTCTTTGTGAAGTGTTAAAAGAGTATATGTCTCACACGGTAAAGGTCTTATTAAAATTGGGAAATAACGAAACATTTGGTAAATACGTATCTTAAGAGAATCGTAAATGTTTTCAAGACAAAAATCGGCCTAAAATGTCCGAAATCATTTCAACTGAAATACTTGGCTTACTTTAATTTATCTCTCTGTCTGTTAGCTTGTCAGAACTAATCAGTTTAACTAGCATACAAACGATGATGTTGTTAAGAATTATTTGGCTTTATTTTGTTTTAGAAACAGAATTAGGACTCCGCCCAAAAGCCACGAAGCTTTTAACAAAATTCGATTCAGATACGAAACAAAGCTACACCGAATTGTAGGCAACTTTAAAATATAAGACCAATAAAATCTGACCAACACTGAATTCTTAATATTTTTTCTGATTGTTTTATTAATTATTCTTTCATTTACTACATTTAGTTCGAAAGTAAAAGAGATTATAATAAGCGTTCAAACTCGACATTAATTGTATTGGTCCTCCTTCAGTTCCCAAAGCCCCTGATGGGTCAAAAAGCTCGAAAGCACGGCGGCCTGATCCTGCACATACTGGTCGCCATGTTCACGTTCATAGGACTCGCTATCGTGTGCGACGAGTACTTCGTGTCAAGCTTGGACAGGATCTGTGAAGGTACTTTGAAGATTTTGCATCGCCATTATCGGTATAACGCAAATGGCCATTGGCCGAAACGGTTTGACGGGTTGTCTTAAAATAGAAGAAGCTGCCCAACGTTGATCTTATTGAGGAAGTATTTTGGAACCAATTTTAGAGTCTGGCAAAGTATGGCAAATCGTCGTAAAGGTTGGTAAACGCAATGGGGATGAATTTACTGGTGGTAGGACCTCTTATGAGTCCGCACGGGTAGATACCACCACCCTGCCTATTTCTGCCGTGAAACAGTAATGCGTTTCGGTTTGAAGGGCGGGGCCGTCGTTGTAACTATATTGGTATCTTAGAACTGATATCTCAAGGTGGGTGACGCATTTACGTCGTAGATTTCTATGGGCTCCATTAACCACTTAGCACCATGTGGGCTGTGAGCTCGTCCACCCATCTAAACAATAAATAAAAATAATAAATGGAATTTGGCGATTTCGAATAAAGCGATAGTAACAAATATATGACGGTATCGTATCAAACAACCTCTCAGGTCACTCAAAGATCACTTTGCGGATAAGTACAGCACTAGTCGTTAATTATCTGAAACAGAACTGAGGTTGGCGCCCGATGTTGCTGGAGCGACGTTCATGGCGGCGGGTAGTTCCGCTCCTGAGCTGGCGACCGTCGTCATCGGCGTCTTCTGCGCTCAGGATGACATAGGTAGGTACACAGTGCGAGTACAAGGCGCTATTCCAGCTACGCCCGGATGGATAGGTGAGCTCATGGGGCTCTAACTTGCGGACATTGCTAACACTAGCCCTAGCAAGAGCAGTCCTTCGCAGAATCTGATCCTGTACCAGACATCACAACCGCTATTACAACACAGTTGAGATTTAAACAGTCTTCACGCTCTGACCAAACACAGCAACTATGCACTGAGTTAGCTATGATATTGTGGCCAAATTTACCACTAAAACGTATATAGAAACAAAATCAAAACATTATCAGGTTTTAAAATGAATTGTGGGAATTGTGTATGCCCACTGATGGTAGGATGTCTTGTGAGCTCGTACGGATAGATACTACGGCCCTGATTACTTCAATCGCGTAGCAGTAATTCATTTCGGTTTCAAGGGTGGAATAGCTGTTGTACTGTCGAAATGAAAGTTAGCAGTCAAGGTGACGGTAGCGACAATTACGTTGTTCATATCCAACTCCTTAATAAATAAATATAGTGCGTTGTAGTAGTGATTCAGATTAAACTGTATCCGTATTTCGTGCGTGGTAATTGTGAGTCTGTATGATGCGGTTGTTGCAGGCGTCTCGGGTGTGATCGGTTCGGCGGTATTCAACATTATGTTCGTGATATCCGTGTGTGCCCTCTGCGCCGGCACCGTGTCGCATCTCAACTGGTGGCCCCTCTGCAGAGACTGCTTCTTCTACGCCCTATCTATACTGGTGATGCTGTGTACCATCGCTAATGAATACGTTAGCTGGTGAGTATTTGGATATTTAGGCATCTGTCAAAGATGTTGTGACCTTTTCTTTTCTGCCTATTCTAGTAACATCGAAGGGCTATACTAGATTCGCAGAACGAGTGGATGAGCTCACGGTACTCTAACCTGATGACGTTGCTAACATTAGCCCTAGCCAGAGCAGTGTTTCGCAGAATCTACCACCGTATCGGAAACGCGACCCGCTGAGAAGATCTGGCGAGAAACTCAGTGGGCTGTGTCTGTGGGATAATTTACTCACCGAGCCCTTCGTCGCAAACGAAGGGGTTGTGACCTGTCATAGCTACCGCCATAAGTACTGTATATACAGGGTGTATCACGGCCGATATCCAAAATACAATAAGTCGGTATATACAGGGTGTGTAGGAACCGATCCTGTGCTGTATACGGTTATGTTTGTGTAGCCGTCCAAATATGGTGAGCGAATATTGTTAAATAAACAAGTGATAGTGTTCTGTGGACGCGTCCTTTTATTGGAATAATACAGACAATACTGATGTGCTGATGTAGGCACAATCCCTAAAATACAATAAGTTTTCAACGGGTTAAAAACTATTCTCCCAAAGCGTCTCCAGCCTATGTGTGGACGAGCTCACAGCCCACCTGGTGTAAAGTGGTTACTGGAGCCCATAGACATCTACAGCGTAAATGCGCCACACACCTTGAGATATAGTTCTAAGGTATCTCAGTATAGTCACAACAGGTGCCCCACCCTTCAAACCGAAACGCATTACTGCTTCACGGCAGAAATAGGCGGGGCGGTGGTACCTACCCGTGCGGACTCACAAGAGGTCCTACCACCAGTAATTACGCAATTTTGCGGGCTTGATTTTTATTTTTAGAGCCTATGTGGAGCCCGTGTGAAATAATTATGCTAAAGCCCTCTAATAAGCACGCGCTCCAAATAGAATAAGTAAAAACGTAACAGGTTCATTGAAAGTGCCGGCGTCACCTAACACCACTGCGCCCACTGTTGTCCTTCTTCAAACTAGGTTGGAGCACAGTTTGCTTCCGGGATTATACTGGCATGTGTACATAATGAACCTTGTTGGAAGTCGCATTAGAAGTTTCACTTCAATAATAAATAATACATGATCGCTGACCGCAGGCCTGAAGCTCTGTTCATGTTGATAATGTACGGAGTGTACTGCGTGGCGCTTCGGTTCAACACGGCGCTGGAGCAATGGGCGATGACTCTCCCTCTGCCCTTCAAACTGCCGACCAGGGAGGAGCAGGCGGCCCTTGTAACCTACAGGTAACGAATTTAGAATTTACGATTTTTTTTAATCAACCCCACAAATTATCTATACTAATATATAAATGTACAGTGGTTTTTACGGATGTTTCATTATAACTAACGTGACCATGTGCATCCGATTGACTTGAGACTTGGTATCCATGTAGAAAATAGATGTACTTAATGGATAGGCTAATATTTATATGAGTGTTGGACTCCCTAATAATAATGACAATAAATAATAAAGTTTATTTGTTAAAATTTTGCATTGTGAACGATTTTGTTACAGCCGGAATGCCGCGGCGGGCCCGACTCCGGCCGCGGAGGGCCAGTACTCGCAAGTCGACGGACGCACCAACGACACTCCGGTTCAAGAAACATGTAACGATATTAAACAAACTCAATTACGATTATACTTAATTAAAACTACTCATACGGTTTAATGCAATCTTGTTTTTTTTTTATTGCTTAGATGGGTGGACGAGCTCACAGCCCACCTGGTGTTAAGTGGTTACTGGAGCCCATAGACATCTGCGACGTAAATGCGCCACCCACCTTGAGATATAAGTTCTAAGGTCTTACTTTTACAACGGCTGCCCCACCCTTCAAGCCGAAACGCATTACTGCTTCACGGCAGAAATAGGCAGGATGGTGGTACCTACGCGTGTGGACTCACAAGATGCCCTACCACCAGTAAATAAATAAATAAAAGGCCGCGAATTGGCAAACGTAGTGGAGGACGCCCTCAGACACGGTGGAGTGACGATCTATACAGGGTGTCCGGCAAGAGCTGGATGAAAGAAGCTGAGGGAGCTTAATGGCGTGGAATTGGAGAGTCCTATGTCCAGCAGTGGACTGCTATAGACTGATGATGATGATAATGGAATGTTTCAGCGTACAATCCCACCGGAGCTTACGACAACGCGGCGTACAATGCAGACCCCACCCCAGTGTGGGACCCGAACCGAGCCTGGGACAATAACGTAAGCTTCTTTTCTTTTTCGGGCAGGGGATCGTATCTCCTAAGAAGTGTCCGTACCTAGAGGGCCCGTGGGGTATGTGGGACTTGACGGAGTGCAGATATTGGGAGTAGATTGCGGGTACAAGGATATTTTTAGGGCCCTTGACGTCCAATATCCGCCCAAGGTCAAATAACGTAAATACAATATCAACTCCTTTATTAACTACCTTCAAATAAAGAAGGAAGCTCAAAATTCAAGTACTTTTCTTTTGTTTTTTTTTTTACTTTTTGCTGTGATCATATAACGTATATTTATAGTAACTAGTTAGTGGTCGCTCAGTAGTCGAAACTGTTATTAAATACTATACTTCTATAATTACCAATTTCGCCAAAGCTTACTATAGACAATTAATATTAAAGACAAGCATAGCAATAATAATCTATTCTCAATTTGACCACAGACTTTGACAATAAACAAAAGAGTATTTATGCGTGTGTGTGTGTCAAATACATAGTAGTGTGTATCTTGTTTTTATTTATTGATTTAATGTATATTTTATCTATAACTAAAAAAATAATATTAGCATTCTGCACTCACTGCCTATATTTTCTATAAGTGTTGAAAATTTCATAATACCTCAGTCCGCGCAATTTTCGTAAAAAAGGGGTACCAAGTTTCTATGTATCCAATACACAGTAGTGCGTGTAGTGTTTTTTTATTGATTTAATGTACTTTTTATGCATAATTAAAAAAAAATTGCATTCTGCACTATACTCTCTATATTCTCTATATATGTGGGAAATTTCAAAATATCTCCGTCCGTGCAATTTTCGTAAATAGCAATACAAAGTTTTTTGCTTCACGTATTATGTATTACTAGCTGTACCCGTCCGCTTCGCTGGGCATTTAAAATTAACATTATTATTTCTCACCCCCACAAAGAATCTCATCATTAACGCCCCCGCAACTGGAGTAGGGAGTCAACACTCATACAAATATTAGCCTATCCATTAAGTACACGTATTTTCTACATGGATACCAAGTTTCAAGTCAATCGGATGCATGGTTCAGTAGTTATAACGGAACATCCGTAAAAACCACTGTAGATTTATATATTAGTATAGAATATAGTAATAAAACATTGTATGTATGTACACAAACAGAGTCAGAGCTACGACCCTCCGTCAGCGCGACTTGAACAGCCTCAGACCGCGAGCCCCCAACAGTCGCAACCGCAGCAAACGCAGCAACAGGCCCCGCCGCCACAAGTACCTACATATTAATTAAATTGAACAAATATCAAATGTGAAGTATTTAAAATTTAAGGTTACAGTTATTTAAGTGTGGAACGCGTTTTTGTTTCACCAATATAGCGATTGTGGAATCGTTTTTGATTTAATTAAGATTACTAGAGGTCCCGCAGTAGTCGAAATTCGACTATAATTAATTGGAATTGTAAGTTTGTGCACTATTATGATTGTATTTTATACTTCTATAATCACAAATTTCGCCAAGACTATACTATAAAAAATATTAACAAAGACAAACAATATTTAATCTATTCTCAATTTGACAACAGACGTCAAGAACAAAAGTTTGACAATAAATAGTATGCATGCGTGTGTGCGTCAAATACATGGTATGTAGTGTATGTAATGTTTTCTTTATTGATTTAAAGTATCTTTTATACATTATTTTAAAAAAATATTAGCATTGTGCACTTCTTCTCTATATTCTCTATAAGTGTGGAAAATTTCATACTCCTCTGTCCGCGCAATTTTCGTAAAAAGGGATACAAAGTTTTTGCTTCACGTATTAATATATAGATTTATAAATAGTTTCTAGATTTTATTATTAGTTTCTTTGCACAGTGGACTATGGATATCTATGGCTATACTGAGACCTTAGAACTCATATCTCAAAGTGGGTGGCGGCATTTACTTTATAGATGTCTATGGGCTCCAGTAACCACTTAACACCAGGTGGGCTGTGAGCTCAACCATCCATTTAAGTAATAAAAAAAGCGTACACACTTATTTACGTTAACGGCAGACAGCGGCTTAGCTCTGCCGCTGGCACTGCTGACGTCCATGAGCTACGGTAACCACTCACCATCAGGGCCGTCGTCTGCCTTAAAGGGTGATAAAAAAACAAGGCTTTGAGACCTTCTGGTCTCTGTTTAATTGCATAAAGACCGACCCAATCTTCAAACCGCAACCCATTACGCTTGACAGCCCAAATTTTGGTACTTTACGGCACATAAGGATCCGTCGAAAAGCGAACTACAATAAAACAACAGAATAAAACAACTCCAAACGACTTTGATCATGGCGTTCCCTCCAAAAAGCTCTATGACAGCTGCTACTAAGCTACGTACGAGTTTTTTTTTCTTTCAAAGGCACCGGCGGCTCCCGCTTACTACAAGGCAAAGGAGTACAATCCCGAGACAGCCGTGGATCCTCTGGTCAAGCCGATCGGAGCCAGTAAGTTCATTGTGTTACAACAAAATTTTGGGATGCTAGCAAACAAAAGAAAAATAACGTGCCTGTAACATACAAACTGTATGCAATTATGAAGATACGGTTTTAACTAGAAAGCCACGTCTATACTATTTTTAAAATTGGAACACGTTGCCAGTCTTAGTTCGTCAACTTTTAGAGTTACCAGAGATACAAATATTTATGCGTTCAATAACGAATATTTTATTTTCTAGAAAATTTTTGCTCATTATAATTTTCTGTTTTCGTTTTCAGATAAATTCCAATTGGCTTGCTGGTACATTGCGTTCCCGGTTCACTGGTCGTGTCGGCACACGATGCCTGACTGCCGGGGACCCTGGTACCCGGTCACCTTCATCATATCGATGCTCTGGATCTCGTTCTACTCCTACTTCATGGTCTGGATGATAACGATTATCGGTATGACCCTTAACTGTCTAAACCTAATTAAAAAAAAAAAAGAATATTTATGGTTTCGTCATTTGTTCGTGCCCCGATTGAGTGGGGATTAAGTTGTCGATGGCATCACAGATAATATCTTATTATGGAACCAATTATGAAATATCGATTTTCAGCTTTTTAAGCATAATTGCTAATGGTAGAACCTCGGTTGTCGGTGACAACGCTAACGGTAAAGTGTTCGAACATCGGAATTATAAAAGTGACAATAAAAAACGCGAGATTAAATCGTAAAATCTAATCTGATCTAAATCTAAACGCTAATGGTTGGTAGTCTAAGGGGCTATTCCAACTTCACGCGAACCGGTAGGTGAGCTCACGGGCTCAACCTGAGAGAAATGCTAACACTAGCCCTCGCAAGAGTAGTGCTTCGCTGAATCTACTACCGGATCGGAATCGCGACCCACTGAGAAGATCCGGCGAGAAACTCAGTGGGCTGTGTCTATGGGCTAAGTCGCACGTCGAACTCTTCGTCGGAGTCGACGAGGGGGTTAGCTTCATTAGTCAGATGCATTCACGAAGCAGCTGCCTTTGGGTTGTTAGGTCTCCTTTGGAAGCGCTCGGGCAGCTGTTAGGAAATTCCTCCCCTCCTGGCTGAGCCTTTACTCGCCCACCTGTCCTGGTGAAAATGGAATGACCTGCGGGCCACCAGTAACCATTCATTCATTAAAAAAGTACCTCTCGGGACGCCCGACAGAATTGATTGCTTTAAATAATCTAAATTGGACTATTTAAAATTGAAATTGTTTAACTTGAGAAAAGCATAGGTTATTACTTAAATTTTATATTCATATATTAATATGATAATGTATGGAAAAATTTAACATAAATTGAAAAATATATATATATAAATAGTTAGAAGTTAAATAAGTTCTCAGTACCGCTGCCGTGTGCGTGAGAGAAAGGGAAGCCAGACAGACAGGCACCGTAACGCGTTACGTAACGACGTAACGCTTACCCTCCCATAAGTAGTTATCACTTCAAAAAATTGCTCTATCAGTCACATATTTTCTATGAAAGTTTATATTAATAGGAGTATTATCCGCTGATAGGCTTAATATCCATTGCTTCTTCAGGCTATACACTCGGGATCCCGGACACGGTCATGGGTCTCACGTTTGTGGCGGCTGGAGTCTCTGTACCCGACGCGCTCTCCTCGCTCGCCGTCATCAAAGAAGGGTGATTATTTATGTACACTAATTATCGCACATCAATCAAAATCCGACTTAAACATTGACACATGAAAGCTCAAATTCATTCTATCCATAGGTACATATTGGTTATGACAATATTTTGATATTTTTTATGATATCACAGCACAAAGTTGATAGTACATAATAATAAAAATAGACGCTAGTTTGCTCAATATTGGAATGTTGACGAAGAACACGTCAGTCGGCCGCGATCATGAAAATTATAGAGTATTCCTAATGTCGGAAACCATAAGGTGACACTAAAAAAATGCTAGATTAAAAGCGTAAAAAAAGTTTTAATTGTTGTAAAAATCGTTTTAATTGATGTAAAAATTGTTTTAACTATTGTAAAAATTGTTTTACTTCCGTTCGCGTCTCGTAAGTGCTTCCGGGAACAATGACAGAAGATAATTTGAAAAAAGAATATTAGTACGTGGTCTTTACTCTAGTTCTGTTACAGTTACGGAGACATGGCGGTGTCGAATGCCGTCGGCTCGAACGTCTTCGACATCCTGGTTTGCCTGGGACTGCCGTGGTTCCTGCAGACCGCCGTCATCCACCCCGGGAGCCATGTGAACGTTTACAGCAAAGGTACTAACTAATATTTCACCTTGGAGCAGCACCTAGCGCTCGTGTGACGAAAAATCTCTGTGTCTAAATGCTTAACATCAATACTTGTATGCATTTAAGCATATATATCAAATCTTTAGAATTGAATGTATTAAAATTTTGCTTAGAAAAGTACAAAGTGCGCTTTCCGTTTTTTTTTTTTTTAAATCAAGCGCATACCTTAAGCTTTAAAGTATAGATAGTGATACAAAGTTTGATAATTATTTTACATTTTATTCGTTTATATTACATAGAGTTATTCAGAATGTATTAAGTACGAATATTAGGTATGAAGTAAAGCACAAAGAGAACCACGAATATAAGGAACACTGAATAATGCTTCCTATCTTATTTTCTCCTATGTTCTTATGAATTTATGTGTCTGTCTCTTTTTACTGTCGCTATTTCGTTTTATCGACTTTCGAATCACAACGATGCTATTACTGGTGGTAGGACCTCTTGTGAGTCCGCACGGGTAGGTACCACCACCCCGCCTATTTCTGCCGTGAAGCAGTAATGCGTTTCGGTTTGAAGGGCGGAGCAGCCGTTGTAGCTATACTTGAGACCTTAGAACTTATATCTCAAGGTGGGTGGCGCATTTACGTTGTAGATGTCTATGGGCTCCAGTAACCACTCAACACTAGGTGGGCTGTGAGCCCGTCCACCCATATAAGTAATAAAAAAATGTTGTATTCACTTTAAAAAATACATTCTTTTTTTTATTTAGGTCTGATCTATTCCACGTTATCGCTGTTTTCGACCGTCGTGTTTCTGGTGGTGGCTACCCACGCCAACGGCTGGAAGCTGGACCGGAAGTACGGCGCAGTGCTGATGGTCTGGTACGTTCTCTTCATAACACTGGCGAGCCTATACGAGCTGAACATCTTCGGGGAATACAACAAGCCGGATTGTATTTCGAAATATTAATTAACAAACGTTACGTATATTGTGAGTCGTTAAATTTATGTGCTTCGTTGATTAGACACTAATGAAAATTTAGATTCGAGAAAAAAATGAGAATTTTAATTTTCTTTTTTTTTTAAAGACGCGTTCGGAAATAATTAAATTCAAAATAGAAATTTAATATATTTCTAAACTAATTTCTAAACACGATCGCAGCACAAACTGTCATGATGACGTTTAAAAACTACAACTGTCATAAGCCGAGTGACGTAAGCTTTGTACTTTAAGTATTATGGTAGTAACGGCTTAGCGATATTCAATCCGAGTTCACTCCGATCAATCGATTTGCCGGTATATTTCTACTTATTTATGCATTATTAGCCCGTACAGTATAATTATTTTGTTTTTATATCGTTGGTTGAGGTCGAATTAATTAATAGATGACCTACATGCACTATAGAAAAAAAAGAAGAAAATAATAATTTTGAAATACACACCAACCAACAAGAGGTCTCTAGCTCGAGATATTTTATTCGATGTCTTAAACAATGTTATATTAAATCGATTTTAACTTTTACTCAGTTACTATTTTAGGAATGTCCTTCCTTCTGTTTATCTAGTCTATTCGACTCTAGTAGTAGATCCGGAAGGAAATCGTTACGTTATAAGCATGTTTTTTTTTTTAAACTTACAGCGATAGAATGTTTTTTGTTTACGTTTTTTAATAAAATTGTTTTTTTTTTAGGCAAAGGTTTTTGTGTGGGGATAATATTATCCCAGTTGATTATTGTCGACGTTTTTTTTTTTTATGATTACTCATAGATGTGCAATAAGCCTATAATTATGTCATCGTCTGTAAATAGTTTCGTTGTATGTTCAATTGAGGAAGTGAAAGCGTTTTTTTTTTGTACGAATACTCAAATAATTTAAGTAAGTACTTTTCTCCTTCGTTTGTTTTTAAAAATATTTGTACGTACTCAAATAGGAGTTAAAAAGTTACATTACCGTGTTTTATTGTATAACCGCTCTGTCTTATGATTATTGATGCATCGATATAATTAGCCGTCTATTTAAAATTAAAACTATAAAAATAACTATAAATTAGATATAACAAAGCTAGATGTTTTATTAGGGAGTTTATTAAAAGTTGTCGATTTGAAATTTAAGCTTTTAGTTTTGAAAATTAAGCACAGCTACAGGTCTTACAATCATTTTTTTAAAAATTAGATTACGCTTTTAATATTTAGCTTAATGGAGTACCTAAGCGTATTTTTAAAAGCAATTGGTAAATACTTAATTTATACAATTTAATCAAATTTAATACACGGTACGTGTATAATGAAAATATTTTAGTTATTCGATCGATACATTTTGAATGCTAAGGATAATGAGATAGCTTTTAATACAAAGCAACTAAAGTTGATTCGCAGTTAAAGTTTAACTCGTAATGGCCTGGAGGTACGACTATGGCGGCGGTAGTAAAAGTTAAATCCGCGAAAAGTTGAATTTATGTCATTACTGGTGGTAGGCGGCAGAAATGTCACAAAGCGATAATGCAATGGTCCGAACAGCGCTTAATCCTTTTAGCGCTGAGCTTATTTTCACATATTTTGCAGAAAGAATTTTAAAAAAATGTACTTTAGTAAAACAGTAAAAAAAAAATACAAAAATCAATGCTAAATTAACAGCAAAATAATTTTAAATGGTTATTTATAAATGTTATTAACTTATTAAAATCGATAAATATGCACGCGCCAAGATACGTCCGTAGATACAGGTCGATAACTAACACCTATAATGAACCAGTTTTTATTCTTTTCTCGAAAACATTATGTTACTTTTACTTTAAGCATGGTGTTGTAATTAGATTAATAGAACTATATTTTGTTATCTCTTCTAAACGAAACATCGATTTACGAATTATTCACGAAAAAGAAAACAAATTAGTTTTTTTTTCTATCTAAATAGGAAAAATAATTAGTTTAAAAATCATTACTACTATACACGTTAATATACATTCTGAAGGATATTTGGTCTACAATTGGAAGATGTTCATGAATCCTATGGCCAAATCTTTATTTATTATTATTTTCTACGATATGGAGTTGATTTATCTGAAATTGAATATGAGAATGAAATTGAACGAAACGAGATGCAATGAAATGACCCGATGGACCGATTAAGCAATGGGAATTTGCCTAAAATTTCAATGAGCTGTTTGGAAAGATTTAAAAATCAAAATCCGATGGTTTCATTAAAATTTCATACACTTTTAATTATGTCAAGCAGTCAATAACGGTATAATAAGCCACAATTGTTCAATATTTAATCTTAAAGAAAAAATACATGACTCTTCCCGCCCGCGCTCCCGCCAAACCGTCAACTGTACTGTACTGTACCTTTAAAAGCCTAGATTTTAGTACTTTTCTGATTGATTGTATAATTTGAAAGTTTTAGTTTAACGAGCTAGGTGTGTTGTATTATAATAATTTCATACAATCCACGTAGATGTTAATATAAGTACGTACTTTTAAAAAAAAAAAACTTCCTCTTTCTCCGACTGATTTCGTTTTCCATTCGTCTCTAAATACCTCGAAACATTTAAGTTTAAGATAACTATTTTTATTATTTTTTTCACCTATTTTATTTTTCAATCTCTTTATTACTTAACAATTCTGTGATCTATTTAGATATTAATAAAGTTAAATTTGTCGTGTGTGTGCGTGTCGTATTTTTAGAAATTGATTATTAACTACAAAGCAGCAGAGCTGAATGTTGTTAAAAAGCTATTTACAATTAAAGCTATTGAAGGCATTGCTGATAATATTACCGTTCTAAGAATCCCGTTTATGCATTAAAGACAAGCTTAAGTTAGTTGCATACATCTATTATAAATGTTGGTATTTATATATGTATGCAACTATCCAAAATCGTGTTAAATTTCTTTAAATAGAATCATTAAAAGGTCCACAGCTATTTCCGACAGCGTACGCAATTTAAATTATTGGTTTAATAATAATTTGTGAAGATAATATTTAATATTCAGATATTATATTTATATAGTATAATAATAATATAAATGTATGTGTCTAATATTTTTGTTTTTCATTTTTGTTTTATAGTACCTAAGTAAAGTGACATTTTACTATAAGTTGCGGAGTTAATCAAAAGCTTTGATTATCAGCTACCTACTGATTGTATGCGTTCAATGATTGAACATTCATTGTCGTCCACATTTTTAAACCGATAGGATCAAGGTATTTGTTATTATAAATATTCAGATATTCAAATATATACATAAGAGCTTAGTATACCCTGGATTTACGCAGAACGAATAATGACGTTTAGTAGTTAACAGATAGTAGAAAAGCGGTTTTTTCAAATTAATATTTAATTTTCTTCTTGAACGTTGATTTAGAAAAAATTTATACCTATTTATTATGTGCCTGGAATATATATAACGAAGCAACAATATCTGCTATTCGATCGCTTACTTTGAATCTACAGACAAATATGTATACATACATTGAACTATTTTACGCCACTCAATATTACTTGTAGGGTTTTATTTTTGGATTACCTGCTCGTTTTTACTAATTAGTTTTTTTGTAAACTTCTTTTTATTAATATTATTAGCTTCAAATTGTGCAAGAAGCATTTATATTTAAGGTGCAAAAATGTAGATATTATAAAATAATGTTTCCTTCTTGAATGCTTCTTGTAATTTTTTTTTATTTTTATTCCTTAGATGTGTGGACGAGCTCACAGCCCACCTGGTGTTAAGTGGTTACTGGAGCCCATAGACATCTACAACGTAAATGCGCCACACACCTTGAAATATAGTTCTAAGGTCTCAGTAGAGTTACAACGGCTGCCCCACCCTTCAAACCGAAACGCATTACTGCTTCACGGCAGAAATAGGCGGGGCGGTGGTACCTGCCCGTGCGGACTCACAAGAGGTCCTACCACCAGTAAAGTATTTTAGTAAAATTTCGACATTGTACCATTAGTTTTTATTTTTTTATTTTATGACCTGGTGACAGAGACCTTTAGGTCATATCTTATTTGGAAAATGTTCATTACTTTGGGGTATATCATTAGTAAATTGCAATAGGTACAGATTAAAAAACAACGAAATAAATACCTGTGTAAAATTTAAATAGAATTTAATATGTGAAAATTATTAATTCACTTAATCTTAAAATAATAATCGATTTCGTATAGGAAATATAAAAAAATATAATACTGTCAATTATTAAAGGTTTGAATAAAAAATTAATAGAAAAATAATTATGAACTTTAAAAAATGTCTACACTTTGATTGGTTTTCATAGATAATACAAGACTTATAATTTATTTTGATTCCAATTCTGATATATTGTTTCATGTAGTTTTTAGTGTTATTATATCGAGAGGTGAAAGGTTATTTGGTTTAAGAGAGTTTTGCAATATTACAGGAGAACTATTTAAAGTTTAAAATTTGAAAAAAATATTATAACAAAAAAACTTCTTGAGCTATTTAAGTGGAGGGAACTTAATTGAAGTTTAATTAAAAAAATCGAACTGGTGATGCTAAATACAGAAAAAAAAACGCACCTTTAATCTATATATTATTATATAAAAATTAATTGCTGTTCGTTAGTCTCCGACCGGTTTGGCTAATTTTGGTCTTGAATTATTTGTGGAAGTCCAGAGAAGGTTTAAAAGTTATAATACATATGAAAATGCTCGGTATTAAATAAAAATAACAATTTTGTTTTTCCTTTGATGTGTCCCCCGTCAGGCGGATTCCTTTTGCTTGTTTTAAGTTTATTTTATACAAAAGTTTAGGTCTTTTATTTATCGGTTGAGGCACTACGAAGTCTGCCGGGTCAGCTAGTTACAAATAAAAAAGTCCGGTATTAAGCAAAATGTCTCTTAAACCGCTAATAGCCTTTCACCGCTGGATATGTGGTTTTATTAATATGAGTTTTGATAATAAGGTACGCTTCAACAATATAATATCGAGTGATACAATCAAAATAATGTCGTAATCATGTCTAAAGCTTGTCATCGACAAGTATCAATTAGTGACAAAGGTTGATGTCTACTGATTAGACCATTTGAAAAGACTCCGATGAGAATGTAAAGAATTTGTGTAATAATTTTAAATTGTAAATGGAATATTGCTGGTGAAAATAAATTGAGATTATTTTAATTTTTGACACGTATGTTTCGGGAATATTATAATATTTGCAATCTTGCCAAATGTCTACTTGTTTTTCGTGCTTTCAATTTTTCGAAAAACACATTATTACGCTTGACATATGAAAATATAGCGCCATATTTTGTACATACTCCCCGTATTAGGAACAGAGTTTAGATTAGAATAGTTAGGCAAAACATAGTTTAAAAATATCGAAAATCAAAAGATTGTTACTTGGTATCTTTTGTGTAGTAGTGCTGTGAGTAGTGTTTATTTATTGGTATCTTTTGTGAATACCTGACGTAATTAGGC